GAAGCAGAAACCTTGGAGAAGTGCTGCTTACTGGCTTGCTCATCATGGCTGCCTCAGCCTGCCTTATTAACCTAGGACAACCAGCCTGGGGTGGCACCACCCACAATGGTCTGGGTCCTTTCACATCACTAAGAAAATGCCCTAAAGGCTTGCCTACATCTAGCTCTTATGGAGGCAATTTCTCAATCGAGGTTCTCTCCCCTCAGATGACCATAGCCTGCATTAAGTTGACAAAAAGCTACAACTAGTCAGCTCAGGGTCTTTATCTCCTTCCATCTCAAAAATTTTGTCATTCCCATTTCACAGGTGTATAAGTCAAGGTCTGTGGAGGTCTAGGAATATGCTGTGGAGAGCACTGAACTTGAACCTAGGCTTCCATGCTACATATGGGCTGCACATCTACATTTCATTTTCTGGCAGTGCCATCTGAAGTGTGCGGTGGTGGGCTCATCTCTACCTCACAAGCCGACAAACTGAGGCTCAGCAAAACTAGACCACTTGAACTGTCAGGAAAGGGCAAGTTCATTTTGCTTGGGAAGAAGAGCCTTGCCCCCCAGTGAGGGCTCACTCAGTCTGAAAAGCTTTGAGCCTCTGGCTCCTTTATCTCAGGTTCCAATGGTTTCCAGGGTGGCCCCTCCTCTCAGGGCTGGGTGCCAGGCAGGCCATCTGCTTTTGTGGCCAGCTGCCCCTCCCACAGCCACTGCCTTCCCCCTGAACGCCTGGCTCCCGTCTGGCTGCAGCCTTAGGGAAGTTCCAGGGAAAATATCTGTGCAGCCTCTTCTGCAACCTAAATTTTGTTGCTGTGGGTCCTGCCTCGTCTGTACAAACAGCTCTGCTGATGCTCAGCTATGGTCCTTTGTTGAGGATATGGGATGCCAGGGGGGGAGGGATGGCACTGGACAGCTTCCCTTGGCACCTGTTCAGGGCTTGGCTGCATCAGCTCCCTGACAAGCATCCTCCTGGCTCCATGATGCACAGTAGCCCGAGAGCTTAGCACAAAAGTCATATCAGGTCACCACCCTGCTTGATACCATTTCTCCTAGAGAAACTTCTCAGCTCCCCCATGCTGCCCACACCTTGGAGCCCCTCGTTTGCCCATTACCACCACCAAGGAATGCCTGGCTGCTGCTGGGCCTTCTTCCTATGCCTGGATTTGGTGCACCTGTCCCCGTAATCAGGGAGCACTCATCAGCCCTGGGCTTTGCTCCTCAGATACTCTATCCAAGGCCAATTCACCAAGACCAAGTAGGACTCTCTTGCCTGCTCCCACTTTGTGTGCATATGGGTGTCCCCTCTTGCTGAGCAGCTTTCCTGCTAGACTGGGAAGCTGTGTGCAGGCTGGGGCAGCAGTGTGCTTTTATCTCAGAGTCCACAGAGTCTGACTCTAACAAGCTCCCAGCCATACTTCTGGGCCATATTAGCTACCCTGGTGACTGTTGTCTTGTGAGGCAAGAGCCTCTTCCTTTCCCTGTCTATGCTGAGGGTCTGAGCAGTTAGAGGTCTTTCCTAGGGCTGAGAGTGGTTACCAACAACTAAACCTAGTTTAACTATTCTTGGGGAGATGTGATCAAATGTCTAAACAGGGTATCCGCAAGAGGCAGAGTCCAACTTAGAGAGCCAGTGAATTTATGAGGTACAAGAACTTGTGTGAGGAGTTAAAGGCATGTAGGGAACCTTGAAACAACTGCGTCAGCAAAGAGTCTCCCATCCGACCCTGAATGACAACCTCATGGAAAGCTGCATCATGGCACCCCTTCAGTTAATGTCCCGCCTCTACTCTGGCCCTTCCTGAGATCATGTATAGTTGGCGCAGAACTGTATGAAGCTGTGTGGGCGTAGCAGGAAGGTTCTAGGCTCTTAGGTGAAAGTCTGATGACCCTTCTTCCTTCTATGAGAAAATGGTCATAGGCCTGATCTTGTGAGGGTATCTTTCTGGTAATGACAGCTTCTTTGACTTCAGTACTGCACCAGTCTTGTGGGTCCAGAGGGCATGGCTCTGCAGCACTGGGCCTCCCAGCCTCCAGGATAATACTGACTGTATGTCTCAACTTCTCAAGCTCTGTCACAGACTCCTTGAAGCAGAAGTTTAATTCCAATGTTCTGTGAAACCCCAGAGGAGAAGCTTCCAGCTGGCAGTTGCTTCCAGGGGTGACTGTGGATGTGCCCTTAGCAACCCTAAAGCTAAGGTCTGGCCCTTCATTTCAAATGAGCATTCAAAAAGCAGACCATGGACCAGGGGCATACAACCTCAGGGCTTAGTGGGGCATACAGAGAGAGCTCTAGATCAGCTGCAGGTGTGCATGTAGAAGGGCAGTACCCCAGGAAAGCCAGATGGCAGGAGCCACAAGTGCAGCCAGTGGCTAACTTTGAGGCTTCTGCTATGTTGTGCTTTATCCCCCTTTCTAAACCAGAGACTGCCATGACAAAAGAATCCAGGCCAGGTATGCTGGAGGAGTCCTCTTGCAAGGTGTCAGGTCCCTACTCTGCTGCCTTGGACATTGACATCTCAGTTGGGAAGATGACAGCAGAAAGACAGACAGGACCTCTGTGTCCAGAAGTGACTAAGGAGACAAAAGAAAATTAACTTACAGATGCTGGTGACAGGTGCTGGGTGGGGAGTGGGGAGGGCTCTGGATTCAGAGACCTCAGGATAGAGGAAGCTGAGAGGTGAAGACTGGGGGGCAAGCAGGAAGTCTCAGCAGAGAGAGATGGACTGACATGAGGCTTCCCCAGCTAAGCATTTGGTAGCATGCCATGATTGGCGTGTCTGGAAACAGGCAGGAAGCTAAAGGCTCCTGAGTAGTAAAGGAGAGGAGGAAGGTGATGGTGTTTCTGAGGCTTTGTTTTGTTTTGTTTGTTTGTTTTGCCTCAGAGAAGATCTCTAAAGAACTTTAAGCAGGGCAGCCAGACTTAAATTTCACTTAGCCAGACAGACTTAGACCCAGCAAACATAGTTCATGTGTGTGTGCATGAGTGTGTGTTGTGTGTGTGTATGTGTGTGCAGGTATGCATGTATGCATGTTGACATCAAAATGGGGTCCATGCCAGATCTGAAACCTGGAGCTACGAATAGCCCATTTCCTATATCAGAGTAAGGCTGAGCATGCCCACAGGGTGAGTCTGAGCATGCCCACTGGGACTGCACTGGCGGGGGCAGAGAAGTCATCGACCTTGCTCCCATTATGGGCAGCCATGCAATCAGTTTCTTCCCAAGAGGTGACAGCAGTAAGCTCCTGAAGGTTTCATGCCTTTGTGGACAGAGCCATGGGCTCAACCAGCATATACTCTGGGAATGCTATGACTCAGAAGTGGCTGTTCAGTGTCCACGGTGGCTGCATTTTTACCTCTATGGAGTCCCTCAGAGTCTCTGAGCAGCATCTTGACACCATTAACCAGAGCAGGTATTTCTCAGCCGTGAGGAGCCTCTCCAGTTCCAGACCAATCGAGCCCAGTATCTCTGGTGAGGGACCCACATGCCAGTGGTTTCGGATACACCCCCACCCCCTACCCCCGTGATCCTCAGTTACAGCTGAGGTCCGGAGTGGCTGGAGTGACAGGAGTGTGTAGAACAAGTGTAAAAGCCAATGTCACATGTTGACCAGGGAATTGATACTAACACAGGCATGGAAATGGTACCTATACTGTTGTTTTAGACCCCCAAGGGACCCCTCTGAAGCCCTCTGCTGTGGCCCCTGGTAAGGAGCTGAAATATTTTCCAAATCCAGCTTGACCACTTTTCTGTTAGTAACCATGAGTTGAATCACCATAGACTCCCATCGTCCCAAGGATGTGCAACCCTGAGCCATCCCTTGGGAAGTGAAATCCTTGTGAAGATGGAGGACATTAGGGTCTCAGGCACACTCCCCAGCAGCTGAGAGAAATATGGAAGACACTTGTCTGCATACCCCAGGAATGTCAAGCAGGCAGGTATCATTGCCCACTGATGTCCAAGTGAATATAGCAGCTTGCGTATCCATGGGGCACAACAGGTTGGGGAAGTAGGTCTTATGTCTTTAGGAAGAGGCAGGAAACACATATGCCCAAGTTGGTTTTCTCAAAGATGAAAATACAAAGCAGGATGGAACAGCCCCACATTGGCTTGGCTTGGAGGGATTGTGGAAGGAACACAGCTTTTGAGTGGGTTAGTCGCTTATCCAGCTTGTATGTAGGGGCTGGCCCAGGGGGCAGGGCTGGCCCGGGGTGCAAGGCTGGTAGTTCTGCTGGCAGAGAAGCCAGGAAACAAACACATGGCCAATACTGCCACACCCTATGATGAATGATGGGAGCTAGACGGGCAGAAGGGCCTGGAGAGGGCTGGGTGGGTTTTGTATTGAGTGCTGTGGCAATCCGCTGGAGACCTTAAAGCCAGGAGGTGATATATTCTGACTGGTACCTTACTAACCTACTGTGATGCTTAGACACGTAACTCCTCTGAATTCCACTGTCATCTGTAGAGACAGCAACACAGAAAATAACAGCAGAGGATTACAATCCTCTCATACTCAGTTATCAGAGGGCCAGGCAGGCACTAAGGCTGGGTGAAATGGCAGCTGTGGCTGTTATCCTGTCTTTATATGGGAAGAAATGCCTCACTTGAAGGGGACTCTCACTCTCCACTCTGGGTCTTCTGCTTGAAAACTGTATATATTTCAGGATCCAAGTGTCCTGCCCTGTGCTGTCTGTCACCAGAAACAAACAATCCTGGTGAGGGCGCACCCGCTAGGTTGTAGCTCTGTGCCTGACCCTGGCATATAGGTCATTCCCAGTGAATGGGGAGCCTCGTAGGACTGTGCTGAGAGCACATCCAGACAGGGGGCCAGACTGTGTGGGCTCTTTCCCTTCAACTCTGGAAGTGCATTTCAGCACTAGGCCGGGACTGATTGGGTGACACAGGGGGCTGGGGTTTGGGTTCTAACTCATTGCTGGCTTGGTGTGGGCTTTCCTGCCTGCTCCGCAGTCTCATCTGTGGCTTTCCTAACTGTTCCCTTCTTATCCTCCAGGGCCCTCATCTTTGTGTCCCATGGCGCTGGGGAGCACTGTGGCCGCTATGATGAGCTGGCTCAGATGCTGAAGGGGCTGGACATGATGGTATTCGCCCATGATCATGGTGAGTGCCTCTGGTGTGCCACAAAGGCTGGTAGAAAGGCTCCTGCCTGCTCTGCCCTATTTCCCTCTCCCTGTCATTTTGTCTGATTCTGTTCTCTGGGTTAAATTTTTCATGTGGTTATGTAAATGGGACAGTGTGTCTGGGCAGCAGTCACTGTCAATTCAGAGTTTTCACGAAGGCTTGTTGGAAGCTCTGCTGAGAAATCAAAACTGGGCCTGTGTATGCGGGAGCCCACCTGGGCCAAGGAGTCTTATACTACATCTATAAAGTGCCTTCTCTCAAAGTGGACACTGATTCTCTCCCAAAGGACTTGAGGTGGATGCAGTAAGTCAGATTAAATCAAATTTTAATCTCATATGGGAACCAGCAAATGTTTATGACATGCCTCAAGCTGGGCACACTGAAAATCTTAATGTGTGCACGTGCGTGCATACACATACATACATGCATATGCACAGCTGCACATGCAGGGCACTGTTACAGATTAGGAGGAACCATTTATTTTGCCTCATGGTTTCAGAGGTTTTGGTCCATCATGGTGGAACAGAGCAGAGCAGAGCAGCTCTCTGCAGCCAGGAAGCAGACAGTAAGTCTTCACTAAGGGCCTTCTTTTTCCTCCCCTTCCATTCTGTCAGGGTTCCAGTCTAGGGGATGGCGCCATTCACATTTCAATGGTGTCTTCCCCACTTAATTCATCCTCTCCTGAAATGCCCTCAGACATATCCAGAGTTGCACTGTAATAATCTCTTAGATATTTCTCAAGCCAATCGAGTTGACTATGAAGATTAATGACCACAAATGGGTGTGCCCATGTAAACACGTCTGCACAATGAACACTTATACCCATATGTGTGGTGTGTGGGGGTATTGATGTGCAAGCACCCATGAGTACACACATGCATGCACTCACATTCACATATGCACAAGTGTGTGTACAGGTTATGCACTTACACACCTCTAGGCTAAATAAATGGTTTTTTTTCATGTGACAAAAAAAAAAAAAAAAAAAGAAAAGAAAAGAAAAGAAAAGAAAAGAAAAAAAGAAAAGAAAAGAAAAAAAAAAACTGCTGCCAGCAGTACTGGGCTCATTGCTCAAGTCAGAATGTAACTTCCAGTCCTTTTTGTATTAGGATTTGAATTCAGAGTCTCAAATAGGCTGGGCAAGCACTTTATGACTGAACTATACCCCCAACCCAGGATGCAGCCCTTGAGTTATTTTTGTGGTTTTCCTATGGCTGAAAAATCACCAGATTTGGTTCTTTATCTAAGTTTCTGAAGCTGGGTTACCAGTGACAGTGTGGTCATTTTCCCACTGCGATTTTCTGCCTTTCTGCCAACATCCAGAAATGCCACTTTGTCTATCTGATATGAGAGTAGATAATTAAGTGATGTCATTGAAAGGAGGGACAGGGGAGTCATGGCAGTGTCTTGAGTCTCTAGGAGAGAGAGCTGCAGCCACACGCAGGGAAGCTCATGTGAGATGGACAGTCTGCTAGGTGACTCTTGTCCACAAAGATCTGTGAATTTGATTTGCCAGGAGCCCCTTTTAAGCTAGATGTATGCGTGTGTCCCAGTAATTGAGATTATTAACTAAATTCTTCCTTATTATGGCTGTGATGTTCTCAGCTGCTCTGCAGTCAGCCTTAGTTATTGGTGAGACTGTTGTTTGGGAGATAATATTCCAGGGTTATCCCCGAGGCTTTTGCTGTGGGAACTCTGTCATTAGTAAGCCCAGAACTCTGCTCACTAGAAAATCCCAGGACAGGACTGCTTTGTCCTACTGCATTCGTCTCCATTAAAATCAGCTGTGGTTGTCGTTATGTACTGGGGACATCTTGAGAGAATTGTTGCACTGAGCACCCTGAATCTCAGGCGTCTGTCATATAGCTCAGCAGCAGCCGCTTATCAGATAAAGTAGGCCAGATGAAGTCAGTGCGAAGCTTTGTTTATATTGCCTGACTGTGGTGCTTAGAAAAACCATTTTTAAAGGACTCTTTTTTTTTTTTTTTCCCCAGAGTCTAGGGATAAAAGAAGCAGCCCACTTTTTGATGTTACCAGCAAAACTAAATAAAATCTGAAGTTGAGGCAGAGCTAGCTCTCTGTGATATTCTAAGTGGAGGGCAGGGATGACTGTGTTCACCTATTCTAAGTTCCCAGAATGACACATTGGAAACACCTCTCTATGTGCCAAAGGGAGGAGTTCAATTAAAATAAAAAAGGAACCCAACAGCATATGTATGTATGTACATATATGTGCTTTCTCTCCAAACACAGGGGCATAGCCCCACACACAGTTGATGGCGAGTGCAAGCCATCTAACTTGGCCTTTATTGAGCCATCCCCAACCTTCATCTTTCTTCCATGTGGGCCATGTTACTGTCAGATTGCTGAGATGATATAGAAGGGCGTAGCTAGAGGCCAGGGGGAACCTCCCCTCCAGGGCATACCAGCTGCTGTGCTGTGTCCCCAAATGGGCATGTCTCCAAGGCTCTAAATAGGGACAGCTCAGCTGGGGATGGTGGGTTTTTATCCTGGCACTGCTGCCTTCAGCTGGGTCATCTCAAGGCATGAAGAAGCCATGGAGAAAGAAAGCAAGGGCATAGACAGGAGACACTGGACATAGCAGCTGGACAGACAACTTACAGTGCTAGTGTCTTTAACCTGATGCTGTAGTTCTCTCTGCTCAGCCACCTGCTGGCTTCTTATTAGGTGCATTCCCCACCCCCACTCACTCCCACCCCATCCCCCACTCCCAGGTTGTGCTGTGGCTATCTACCTGTCCATGTTTCTCAGCTCTTACTGAGAAATTTAGCTTTACTTTCTGTTTTATCCTTTGGAGTTTTCCTGAATGGCCTCGTGGGTTTGGACACATTACCAAAAGGGAAACCATGATGTTGTCCATCACTGAGTGCTGCCCTAGCTAGCACTTTTCCTACATTATTTCAAGTTCCTCCTAAAGGCCAAGATTACTATCTCCATCTCATAGGTGGGAGATTAAAGTAGGATTGCGAGGATACTATTCTTTTTGCACTAGAAACATATGGGTCCGCTGTGTAAGACAGAAACTCCAGAGCAGCCTAAAGAAGAGAATTCTGTTTTCTCCCATGCCAGAGTCAGGCAGGGCAAGAATGGGCAAGACACTGTCAACACCCCAGATTTTGTCCAGAGGTTTGCTCCATAGATGTTACACATGTTACATATCTATAGTGTCCACCCCTGTGAGCCCTGCTTCAGCCACATGTACTCCATCAGGGAGTGCTGAGGGCTAAGCTCAGATCTTCCTCAGAGATCTGAAGCAGGTCCCAGGTGGATCCCACTGGCCAGAACTGCTTCCGTCGTGGTAGGTAGCTGTAAGAGAGGCAAGAAAATGAAATTGTCAATTGCTGATCCAAACAGTACAGGGATTCTGAGAAAGAAAGAGGGAAAGAATAGTTGTGGCTGGCAGTTCTGTGTGTCATACCACACTTACAGGCATTTCTACTCTGGGTACATTCTGGGTGTCCTACTAAGTCACAAGGCCACCTTTCGTGTCATCCATCCACATACTTTCCCATAAGGTCTGAGGTGACAGCTATTACAAATATTGTAAACTGATTTGCTCTGGATGGAGTGTTGTGCAAAGACGGATACACTGGCACAGTAACTTATAGCCCAGCCTGCCCCTCAATCCAACAGCTCTTCTCCAAAAGCATGTGGTACTTGTCATCCTGGGAGTGATGGGTTTCCTTAGTCAAGGCAAGCACAGACCATTTTATCGTTTAGTTCATTGGTCCCTCTCTCAACCACAGAATTCCCCAAACATCTACACATAGCCCAGGTACTAGAAGCATCACTGGTGTTTGTTGAATGGATGGAAGAATGTGTAACTTGCATTAAATGAAAAAGAAATGCTTCAGATCTGAGTTGAGTATCCATAGGAGTGGTACTGATCACTGTTGGGACCCATTACTGTGAAGTGGGCCTGGTGGCTAGGGGCCTAGAGAGCTTGTAAATGATGTGAGTGTGTGCCCTGAACAGGACAACCACAGACCTGATATTTGGATGTCTCTGAGGCACACAGGTAGTCCAGGTCCTGCAGGGCTGGCAGGGTAGAAGGGTCACACTACATGAGTAGGATCTTATTGGAAAAGGAGGGTATCCTAGTTGGGGTTACTAGTCCTATGATGAAACAATGTGACCAAAAACAAGTTGGGGAGGAAAGAATTTAATTGACTTCTTCTACACCATAGTCCATCACTGAAGGAAGTCAGGTCTGGAACTCAAGCAGGTTGGAACCTGGAGGCAGCAGCTGATACAGAGGCCATGGAAGGGTGCTGCTTACTGGCTTGCTCCCCATGGCTTGCTCAGTCTGCTGTCTTCTAGAACCCAGAAAGAACCACCAGCCCAGGGGTGTCTCTGCCCACAATGGGTGGGCCATCCCAGTGGGCCCTCCCCCATCATCCCTAATTAAGAAAATGCCCTACAGACATGCCTACAGCTGGATCTTATGGAGGTATTTTTCTTAATTGAGGTTCCCTCCTCTCAGATGATTTTATCTATATACTGTGTCAAGTCAACATAAAATTAGCCAGCATATAAGGAAACTGAGCACAGGGAACCCTGCTGAAACCCCTGGGAAGCCTGAATGGAGAGTGCTGTCTGCTTCCCTCATCCTCAGAGCCTACTGTCTTTGGTCTTTGGTGTAGCCCAGAGACTGACTGCAGTTCTTAGTTAGCCCAGGTGAGACTTTGGTAGCCCAGGTTGAGAACCAGAACAGGGGCGCCAACAAAGCCCCTCTGATCTGTACTGTCATGCATCTGTACTGTCTACACAGAGAGGAGCAGGAAGGAGAGAGGAGCCCTGGGCTGCTGAGCTCAGGCCTAAGCAGGGAGGACTGCTCATTGCTGGAAGAGCTCTGAGCCTGGAAGCTGGCTCCAGAGGAGAGGGGATAGCAGCAACATGGCCCAGAAAGAAGCCTTGTAGGCAGAGTTAGGGGGATGCCAGCCACATGTGCACAGGTA